GTATGGGACTCCTCAGCAGTGCGCATCCACGATCCCGCACCACGCGGGGCTCGAACCCAGGACCTACTGGCTTCGCGCGCGAAGGAAGAATGTCTGTATTTTGATACAGTGAAACAAACAAGTACAGTAAAACAATCTCTAGTACAATTGGTTATAATAATAATAATTGTTTCCATTACACCAATCAAGTTCTCTTGATGAAAGTAGTTCATTACAGTATATACATGTAGAGTTGATCCAGGAGGAAGTATGGTATGGGGTAGAGATTAAAACAACTGCGATTAACTTACATCTAGTTTATAACTAGTTAGAAGACAGATTCTGTAAATGGATAGTTTGTGGAAGAGAAAATAATAATATTGCCTAAAGTAAGCAGTTCTAAAACAGCTAATAAATCTTCTTATGTCTTTTTTTGGATTGCTCTTCCCGTAAGTCAAAAAGCGTAGCGGTATATGAACTCAAACTAGGGGATATGGTTTGTCTATATTCTCGAACCCTTAAAAAAACCTAAATGGATTTTGAAGAGTTCCCCAACTGTTCTTAAATAGAATTAGGTCTTCAGGGCTAAACTCGTGGGTTCAAAGTTAACTCTTTAATCACGGATGACATCAACTACAAGACAAAAATGCTTAGTAGAAATGCGGCTGGATGAATGTCGCCTAAATCATTTTACATGAGGTTAAACGGTTATATTTAAACATTTATGAAACAAAATGTTTTGATCAAACCATTTGTCTGCATTCGTAGGAGATTGATCACTAGTTGTTATGTTCCTGTTTAGATGCTTTGTGTATAATACTTACTTACGCCTGTTACCTCACGTGGAGGAGTATAGGACGCTCACCAGCGTTTTCCATCTAAATCTGTCCTAAGTATTCCCTTCCAGTTGCTATTCATCTTATTCATGTTTGCTTGCATTTCCCGATGTTATGTGCTCTTCAGTTTTTGCTCTTTTTCGTTTCCCTTTGAAAATTTTAAGTTAGCGCTTATCTCGGGATGCATTTTAGTAATTTATGTAATGTATGTCTTATCCACTTGCAACGTCTTTTCTTAATTTCCTCTTCAGTTGGAAGCTGGTTTTTTCTCTCTCACAGTAGGCTGTCGCTGATGGTATCCGACCAACAAATATTGAGTATATTGTGTAGACGATTGTTTATAACTACTTGTACATTTTTGATGATAGTTGTAGTAGTCCTCCACACTGTGTATAATACATCATATCGTTAATTTTTATCCTCATAATGCTTTTGATTTATTTTATATTCTGTGTGATATTAAAATATAAATTTAGTTATTTGAATAAGGGTTTGTGGAAATTGTAGTAAGTCAGTGGTTAAGCATTCTCATGAGAGACCAAAGGTCCTGGATTCGAATCCCGTGTGCGGAGTTATGGATGAGCGCTGCTGAAGAGTCCCACACTAGGATGAAGTGACCGTACAGTGCTTCTAGATTTTCCAAGGTGGTCTAGTTTAAATTGACCTATGAATTCAACTATTAAGAATAATTTTAGCTACATGTGTAGTTGATCATGTATTTGATAGTAAAATCTGAAATGTTCATCTCACAAAATGTATTTATAAACAAGTTGTACATGAATAAACATCTAAATAAACCGTCTAGAACCATAAATGGATAGACTGTGGTGACCATTATTCAACAGATATGATGATGATGATGATGATGAGGAGAACAAGGACTTAAAAGAAGTACAGTAACAAAGAAGTTATTATAACCCTTCATTGGTTTAAGATATTCCTCTGAGATCAATATACAATGAGTGATTTCACTAATTTTCCATGTTTTAAGGGCAAATTAAATAGAGAAATGTTGAATTATAATCCTAAAGTGTTTTATATTAGATAACATCAAATGATATATTTCTTATAATGAAATGAATTTAAATGGTACTAGTTCATACTTGTATTGGTTGTTTGAATCTAGTGACTAATTGGACTCAGTTGTTAAGTGGATAGTGTGATGGTGTATAAAGTGAACGTTATTTGAGCTGGAGTTTTCGAGTAAACATCAACTTTAGGCTGCAGATACATTCAGCTGACGAGTCCTAAATAGAACGAAGTGTTACGCATCCTAGATTCCACTGTTAGCCACCATGTATCTCTGCTAATAAATAATACTAGATCTGTGTTAGTAAAGCATCAGGCTAGTTAATACGAGTTAACATACACAACTGTTTTCCTAAATTGAGCCTACAATATTCAGAGAGACTATAAAAGGTATACAATTAATCATACTCATTGAAAAATAGGGTTTTTTTTGGGACAAAACATGGGTTAACTACTTCAAATTTATTGATTGAGATCATGAACCGATTGATGTTAGAACACCTTTGGAAACCTGGAAGCACTGGATGGCCGTTTCATCCTATTGTGGGACTCCTCAGCAGTGCGCATCCACGATTCCGCTCGCGGGATTCAAACCCAGGGCCTTCGGTCTCACGCGTGAACGCCTAACCTACTGGATCACTGAGCCGGCATCCAATGGTGATAGTGTCTAACATCAACCAATCCACGAAGTTGCAAATTTACAAAAATTTATGACAATGAGAATATTTACTGACAGAAGATTTAAATGATTCTCATCCAAGTACTTATTATCTCTAGTGGAGAAGATTTGTAGCTTAGGTGAAGTTTTGTTCAGTTCAGAAAACAAAAGTTCTGTAGTATAGTGAACGAGAACACAAATGGATACAATCGAATTTATTACAACACAAAATTACGGAATATCTGAGAACCAAACTGTAAATACACTTGGTATTGTTTGGCTTGTATCTTCCCATTGAGATTTAAGACTGCAATTGATCAGTCGGTTATTGGCATATGTGCCAACTGTGCGTATGCCTCGATATTGCCTTAATTCACAAGCTTTTTTATAAGCAAAGATGGATAGTGGATGGTTAGTCCCAGAGTGAACATTAACTTTGAGTTGCAGATACATCCAGCTGACGAGTCCCAAATAGGACGAAGTGACGCGCGTCCTGGATTCCACTGTTAGCCACTATCCATCTTTGCTTATAACAAACGGTAAATAATTCATTTGCAAAATATCAATCAATCATTTCAGACTTGATCATTCTTTTGTTTCCATATCAATCATTCATTGTTCTCGTTCTCTTCTCTTCAGTCTTCACAACATTCTACTTCTAGGCATTTCACTTTCAACTGATGATACATACTACTTATTATCTATTTGACATCAGTAGCACACACTACAATTTCACTAACTGGTTACATGGTGTGAATCAATTGTAATTGTACTAATAAAACTATTGTTTAGCCTGTAATCTTATTCTCAACAATTCATCGTCAATTAAATATTGATATGTAACGTGATTTAGTTTATGGTATCTGGCGTATCGATCAAGTGCTCATTTTAATATTGTATTATTATAACCATACAAATGGGGTACATATATCAGTGTTACACCATGACAAATAGAAATTCTCTTGTATTTTACATTACATTTGGCATTCCAACTAATACGTTTGATTCAGTTATGACGAATATATGACTTGTAAACTGATGAAATTCAATCTATGTAGTCATTCATATAACTGATATCAAAGTATTGGGAATATCGTTGGTTACTATTGTGCCAAAACTATCATCATAAAGGTATAAGTATTTCAATAGTTGAAATCATGAGTCAATTGAAGTTAGACCATCATGGAAAACATGGAAGTATTAGTATAGGACTCCTCAGCAGTGCGCATCCATGATCCGGCCCCCTGCGAGATTCGAACCTAGGATCTATCAGTCTCACGCGCGAGCGCTTAACCATTAGACTACTGAGCCGGCTGGCATCTAACGATATTAATGTCTAACTTCAACCAATCCACAAAATTGTGCCACTGTCACCATTGTCCAGGATGAAACGGCCGTCCAATACTTCCAGGTTTCCATGGTGGTCTAGCTTCAATTGAAATTTCTAAAAACAAATCTCCACAAAACCCCTTCTGGCATAAATATTTATAAACAATTGTGTACGTATGATACCGAATGTCCATTATCTTATATCATCAGAAATAGCCCACTGTGGGAGAAGACAAACCAAGTTCCAGTTGAATAGGAAATTAGGAAAAGACTATAATGATCGGACTGTGCTTCTCCATAAAAGGTAACAGGTCTAAGTAAATAAATTTTGTATCCAGGTTAGAATTTAAAGATGAATAGTTGATTACTATAATTCATTGTGTATAGAAAAGCACCAAATAAAAATCAATAATCAAATTACTTTATTGATTGATGAAAACTCATTTCTATTCTACACACACACACACCTAAATCATTTCATAATTTCACTAATGTTCTGACAATATGAAATAGATAGAAAGGTGGAAGATCAAAGAACATATTCCATTGAGAAATAGAAGCAGTTGAATAATAACTGGGATAGAACCGTAAACCGGTGTCCAGGACAGAATTGGATGGATACTGTTAGTTGGCGGCCTATACTCCTTCATGAGGAGTTATAGCGACTCACGTACAATTGAGTTTATTCTCATTTAACTCAGTTAAGCCCTTTTGCTAACTTATTTAGCGGACAAAGTCATCCGCACTATAACAATTTATTGTACCCTTATTATTATTGTGCTCGTATGAAATACGTATGCTTGAATATTGCTTACGGCCTACGCATTTATTCACTCCGCTAGTCTTACTACTAACTGCTTATTTGACTCGATTACTCATTCATTTTACTAGGTATATATATGTCTATGTTATTCATATTCACACTCACTCACTCTCGTCTCGCTCTTGCTCTTGTTCTCGCTCGCTTGCTTGCCTTTCGGCACAACTCTTCTATGCTTGTTTAACGCATCTGTACATTTGGATATATGTGTGTGGTTTCGTAATAAACATAATCAACGCTTCGTATTCGCCTTCTGATTAATATACCGTTGGGGCGTTATATAGAACGGTTATCAAGACGAACTGTATACAAAGTTTAAGGAATATATCGAATACCGACCACCACAGAGTAATGAAATAGATCCATATATTCAATTGATCAATAAGTAAATGACATTACAATTGACAAGTTACACAATATGATGAAGTTTACTAATCACTTGTAATGAACCAGATTCTAATTGTTTTCTTATATTCTCATATAATATAATCCATTCAAGTTGTATGGATAACCATTGTGCTATTAAGATACGATTGATTTGTTGATCATCAATAGCATATTTGATTATATCCACAACAAAATCTAAACAATCATAATCATTATGCTGTATCATTCTATTAGGATAAGATTGTTTGAAATCATTCACAACACTATAAATAATTTCATTCCATTTGAATGATGTTAAACTATGAGATTTAGTAACTTCGGATACATTGATAATGATAGATTGTTCCCAACCAATTGTATCATATTGTATACCATATTGATTTGTATAATGATAGACTTTACCTTGTGAATCAACTACACCACAATGTAAATTTGTATTTGGTTGATAATGTACAATACTACTACTACTACTACTAGTACTACTATTATTACTAGTATTACTGTTACTATCTGATGAAATAAATGCAATCCTAGATAATGGATATGATGTAAACAATATTGATTGATGTGCATTTGAATAGGGTGGCAACAATTGAGTAATCATTTCATTTTCTAAGGTTTCATTACATTTTAAACACTTTTCAGGAGTTTTATTCATAACACATATATAATTTTCATGATTATTTTCATGATTGAAACATGAATGTTTAATAGCTAATATGTTGCTATGGGTCATAGAATTGCAATATAATGATGATGATGATGATGATGATGATGATGATGATGATGATGATTACGTAATATGCTCCTCTTAATAGTAAACAAATTATATTTGTAACTATGCTATATACTTAATATATAAAAATACTCAACATCTCAAGGTCATACTTTCATGAGAAATCACCAAGTCATATGACCTAGTGGGTGTTAGTGTGAATCATAGGGTCTATTTGTTTGTTTGTTTGTTTTTGAATGGATATATATGGGGATGGTTGACGAGGGGAACTAGAGAAAGTTTTAAGAAGTTCAGAAAGAGCTGAAGATGTTCTGCTCAATCATCTTTTTGGAAGAATATTCTAGAATCCCTATGTGTAACTTCCCTATTAGACTAATGTTAATAACCCCCTGTATACGGATTGGATAATTATAATGAAGATCTTGTTTTTACTATAAACTATAAATACTTGAGAGTTTTGTACCATCATTGATATTGTTTGGAATAACATTCCTCTCAGTTGTCTTCTGATTTGTGACATGGGAGGATTCTAGCGTTCAATTGCTCAAGTTATACGCGGTATATTAAGAATCTAGGCTCTAGATATAACAACTGGTTGCGGGGATGGGATTCGAACCCAGGCGGCGAAACCACAATGGTATATGTTTTGTTTGTTGTTTTTGAATGGATATACAAATAGTTTATTAGATAGTGGAGATATTCTAACTCTTTAATACAATCACTTACTTTAGTGAGTTCATGATAAATATGTTAAGTTGTACTATAGTATTAATTTCGTTTGTTAGTCTGTCTGGAATCCACAATCCAGCTGACAGGACATTCCTGGCTTTAATAGGACAGGTCCGGTATTAACTTTGTGTTTTGACTTTGAGCATAAGTGCCTCCGTATTGTAGCTTACTTACTTACTTACGCCTATTACTCACAATGAAGTATAGGCTACCAAGCAAAATTCTCCAACCAACTTTGTCCTCGGCCTTCCTTTCTATTTCTATCCAATTGTTGTTCATTCTTTTCATGTCTGTCTCCATTTCTCGGTGTAATGTGTTCTTTGATCTTCTTCTCCTCCTTTGGCCTTAAGGATTCCAAGTGATGAGGGTGTATTGTGGCGTCGAGTCGCTGTTGATTATGATCACCACTACAGAAAGTCTACGTGCCAGTTAACCGATAAGATCCCCCGTAAGCCAAATATCAGAAGGCAGTTGATGGCTGTAGTCAAGATGTATTTGTTGGCGATCTCGTGGTATCGAAAGAATACCGAGATCGTGCCAAAGGAGTACAAGTGTGGTTACTGAGCGTAACCGAACTCGTGCAAGGTCACAATCAACGGGAGAATGTATGTATTTTGGTACAGTTAAACAAACAAGTACAGTAAAACAATCCCTGGTACAATTGGTTATAATAATAATTGTTTCCATTACACCAATCACGTTCTCTTGATAAAAGTAGGTCACTACAAGGGGTTGCCTTGTGATGTAGTTAGGTGCTTTCCTCAATATGTGTCTTATTCACTTCCATCGCTTCTTCCTTCGTTAGAATCTGGTTTGTTCTCCTCCACAGTACGTCGTTTCTAATACTGTCTGACCAACGGATTCGATAGTTTATTGAAATAGCTTATAATTTACCTTGCAGAGTAAATGGTGTTTTCCCTAAAAGAATAAAAGCTCGTACTTTTCATGAATAGTGATAATCTACTTCAATGATTGGATTCCATTTCATTATAGTAATCAAAACTTCATCACTAAAGTGTATAGATTGTAAGTGGATGAAAAGAGATCTCTTTTTCACTATTTGTATTCAGTTTTTGATTTAGAAATCCCTCTTTATAAGCCTGCAGTTCACAGGTGATGCAGTCATTGAAATACTAATCTAGAGATAACATAGAACATTCAATGTTGAAAAACTAAGACTAGTGTTTTTTTATGGGCCTAGTGGTGACATTGAGACTAAAAGATGAATGGCCTAGAATGGATACCTGGTTTTATATCTATCAATTTGACTAGTCTAATGAAGCAAGTTATATTAGAATTTACAGTTTTGTGCTCATCAACAACTTCCAGGGTGGCTAAGTAAAAGTGTAGTCAAGACAGTAAACAATTCAATACTAGTTCATTTGAAGCAAACTGGTCATCGTACCAGGACTAATCAGTCATTTTCAGCTTATCAGGTTAGTATTTTTAAAAAAATTGAAGTCGGTTCGACTCAAAATCTTCCATATTACAGGGGCAACACCTACTTGGATTAAAAACGTCGGAGCTGTGTGTGTATATGAAATATGTTCAACCTTTTCTCTTATGTTGATTAACTTCAGGCCAATAAAACAATAGTAATCTTATCAGTATAGAGTTGTGGAGATTATTAAGTTTTTGATTGAGATCACGAACCGATTGATGTTAGACCAGCATTAAAATCCTGGAAGCACTGGACGGTCGTTTCGTCCTGTTGTGGAACTCCTCAGCGGTGTGCGACCCGTTCGCGTAATTCCAACCCAGGACTTATCGGTCTCGCGCGCGAACGCTTAACCTCGAGACCACTGAGCTGGTCAGCATTCAATAGTATTAATGTCTAACCTTAACCAATCCACGAAATTGCGCGACCACTTTCCATTGTACTTTCTCTACCTGTCTCTACAATAGGACGAAACGACCGTCCAGTGCTTCCAGGATTTCAATGCTGGTCTTATATCAATCGGTTCCTGATCTCAATCAAAAAGTAGTAATCTTAATTAGCCGATATACGTATAATCTTTTTTAGTCAAATATTATTGTCTTTGTGATTTTTATTCACATATCTTTATGCCGTTATCATCGCTCTTGGTTCATCATCGTCCACTTCATTGACCTTCAGAAAATATGACTAATTTAATTGACACTCACTTTAATTGATTATTTCATAGCGTGACATCTTGGACAAACGGACATCTTTGCCAGACTCTGCACTGATAGTGTCTGATTTACCGATTTGGATTACACTGCCAGCTACCAACCAAATATTCCGAGATCGTTAACCAGCTTTATTTTCAGAAGAGATGGATGGTGGCTAGTAGTGGATTCCCGGACGGGCGTTTAATCCTATTTTGCACTCGTCAGATGGATATAATGTTCACCCCAAGACTCGAACCCAGTACCATTCGCTTCAAACGCCATCAAGTTATCCATTTAGCTAAGGGACTGATCAATTATATACCTAAACATCAATGGGAAGATTCAAACAACCAATACAAAAATGAATTAAAAACAGCTTTATTTTCGTTCTGTGATATACCTATTCACTTTCTTTTTATCGTGGTCAAATACAGTTGAAGGTAAGGTGATTTTTAGACAGAACTTCATTCGATCAGCCTGTGTCCCATCTAAAAATAGCAGAGATTATACCTTCGAATGGCAATTAGAAAATACATCAAGTCAAACTCTAAAATCTATACTAAAAAAACCCAAAAGTTTCAAAAGAACTTTTCATTTATAAGGTAACAACTACCCATATTTCAGCATGCGATTATGGAGATCTCTGTATTTTGTAGAGGTCACGAACTTATCTAGGAACACAGAACAACCGTTTCGTCCTACGATGGGACACTTCAACAATGCACACCCACGACTCCGCGATTGGGAATCGAAGCAAAGCCATCCGGTCTTTACTGAACTTAACTAACTAGTCAAATAGGTAACACTAAAATATTTATATTGACCAGGTCTTATTCCGAAAAAAATGATAGATGAACTAATTTCAAAGACAGGAGAAGATAAATACTTCACTTCTACCTATCTTTTTCTTTTTTCTCATGTCTCCATAGACACAGATTATGCTAATTTGGTGTTTCTGGCATTTTCACCGTTTTGTGTATTGTGGAATGACGCCTTCAGTCTAGAAGTAAACTATGGAATTCGTTCTTTGATTCTAATTTGATAACACAGTTGCATGCAAAACTCCAAAACTAAAAGACGAAATTTGTTTGACAGTAAATGACTTATAAACGAACTCTTTCAAAGCATCGTATTATGAGGTGTCTGTGCGATACGCCCACCATACAAAGGGGGAGTATAAATAGCAAAGAGGAGAATGGGGATCTGTCTAACAGGAATATCAGGTAATTTACGATAACAACTAAGGCACTGAAATAGTAAATTAAGCAGGAGTTTTCAAAGGACACGGAGAAAAAGAATGAATCAGGGTTGAGGTTGGAAAATACACCATTAAATTATAAAAACAAATAAAAATATGAAAGTGAGGCCACAAATGGATGGGGTTAAGTAGATCATTTCAACGAAGTAATATTACTTATTGCAACCGATGAGGTACATAAGTTGTTGGATATAATCAAACTACTGGTTATTAGTCAGTAGTATAAATTATTATTCATAAAATGTCAGAGTGTAGTAAGTAAATCATATATTCATCATATATATATTCAAATTGTTGAATAGAATTTTCCAGATTTTATTTCAGGTTTGACTTTATTCATAGAAAATATTCAACAATGAAGTTGCTTTGTCACTTGTTTAATCATTGTGATCAGAAATATGGAAACTACTGTTCGTAAGTGGTTACCAAGATACCGGATAAAACATATGCGGAGGTACTTGGAAATAATTTTAAGGGAAATTGGTTTATGAACTATATGCAGAAGTTAATTGATCTGAAACCTGATCTAATTTCATTTCTAAGCAACTTCAAGAATTGTATTCAATTTCCGACATTAAGCACCAAGCGGATTCACTTGGATATTCATTGGAGAACAATCGTCAGAACTCAAATTTCAAGAGCAAGTTTTCAAGACCTTTGAAAGAATTTGAAACTTTTGAACTACAGTTAGTTCATTAAAACGATCATTACACAAACGTTTTGTTATTTCCCATTTATTGAGCCATTATTTGTTAAATGATCTTCTGACGTATAATTCATAGCAACTAGACCTTTTTATCGTCTAAACGAAGTTTCATATACGTATAAAAGGGATATTTATTTCCGCAGTTACTGAACCAAATGGATCAAAAATTTCCATTAATTTCTTTGAAGTGGTGAGGATTTTTAGCTTAAGTA